TGCAGGCCTCCAGTTATGGAATGAATAAGTCATGAGAATAAAAGCCACTGCATAGGGAATATAGTCAATGATATTATAATCGTGTTGTATGGTGACAGATGGTAGCTACACTTTCGGGGACTATAGCATAACATATAGAGATGTTGAATCACTGTGCTGTAAATCTGAAACCAATGTAACACTGTGTTCCATCTATACTCAAATAAAAAATTAAAATTAAAAAAAAGGGAAAGGCTCAAGATATCAAAGCAAAATAATATTAAGATTCTTCCTTTTGATACTTCGCATTTCTCTTATAAGACACATAGTTTATGCTTAACTGTATTAACATAAAGCTATTAAGCAGTGATTAGAATAAGCAAATGAATGCAAATGTATAAATTGAATCAGCTGGCACAAAAGAATCTGCAAATTCTTCAGTTCCTGCCTGCAGGTCTTTGTTTTTAGAGCTATAAATATTTCTGTGTTACTGATAGTGGAGCTGAACACAGTAACCTGTTTATCTTCCTGCTGCATTAGAATTTATTAATATAGAGTGGTTTATAAAAGTTTTCCTAAGACACCAAGGCAACAGTGTTTTCTAAAAATAAATGTTGTTGAAGATCGTGGCTGAGAATAAATTAAATTAAATAAATAAATAAATAAATAAATAAATAAATAAATTCCACTGTGGTTAGAGAAAATGTTCTGTATGATATCCGTTCTTTGAACTTTATTCAAAATTGCTTTTTCACCCAACATATTGCATAAGCATTTGAAAAGAAAATGCATTCTATACATATTGGGTGTAGTGTCCTATAGATGTCAATTAAGTTGGTTGGTTAATTGGTTATTTATGTTATTAGTCAGTTAATTGAGTTATTCAAATCTTTCCTACACTTTCTGATTTTTTTCAACTTCTTAACCTATCAGTTACTGAGAGAGATGTTAAAATCTCCAACTCATAATTTGGATTTGTCTGTTTGTCCTTTTTTGTTCTCTAAACTTTGGCTTTACATGTTTTGGGTTATTAGGTATATATAAATTTAACTGACTATGTAATCCTGATGAAATATTCCTTTTTAGTCTAGTCATAGTTCTTGCCTTAAAGATTAACTTGTCTGATATTAATATAGCCACATGAGCTTTATTTTGGTTAATGTTTACAGGGTATATGTTTTTCCATCTGTTTGTTTTTATCTTTTTATCTGTGTCATATTTCAAGTGTCTTTATATTTCAAGACCCTCTTATAAACAGATATAATTGAGACCTGGGGGGGGCGGGGTTGGTGCAGTATGTTAATTTTTTCCTTTTAATTGTTTTACTTAATCCACTTGTATTTAATATTATTAATTTGGATTTAGGTTTACCATTTTGCATTTTGCTTTTTGTTTTCTCTTTGCGTTCTTCCTCATTTCTTTATTCTTCCTTTCTTGCCTTTTGGATTAATCAGGTATATTTTATTACTCCATTTCTCTCTCCTTAGCTTTTAGTGATACATTCTTATATAATTCTTTAATTGGTTATCCTGTGCAAATATGTATGCTGGACTTACCAAAGTATTCTTTAAATAAGTGCTTTGTAACCACTCCCCAAATAATGCAAAATTTTTAACAAAGTTTGGCTCCATTTATCCCCTCCTTCCGTCCTTTGTGCTGTTGCTTTCATATAATTTACTAATACATACATTATAAACTCTACAAACCATTTTATAAGCTTTTGTTCTAAGTAGTTCTTATTCTAAATTCTTTTGTATCAAGAACATATTTGCCCTTTCTTATGCTCTTCATTTCTTCCAACAGTTCCATCTTTCTATCTGGGATTACTTTCCTTCAGCCTGAAGAACTTCCTTTTTATTTCCTGTAGTTTAGGTCTGCTGGTGACAAATTCTCTCAGCTTTGATTTGTCTGAAAATATTATTTCACATTTTTGAAGGATATTTTCACTGGGTATACAACTCTAGGCTGGCAGTTGGTATATCTTAGCCCTTTAAATATATCATTCTGCTGCTTCCAACTTCTACAGTTTCTGTTAAAACATCGGCCATCAGTCTTACTGATACTCCTGTAAAAGTAATGTTTCTTTTCTCTGACTCCTCTTAAAAATTTATCTCCGGTTTTCATTTCATTTATATTTTATCTTTTATTTTCAGCAGTTTAACAGTTACGTGTTTTGGTTTAGTATGGGGGACTTTTTTGGAGGGAGGATTTTTGCTGCTTGTAGATTGCTGAGCTATTCTTTCATTATTTTCTAAATACTATGTTTGCCTAGTTCTCTCTATCTTCTTCCCCTGGGATTGTAGCTACTCATATTTTGGATCCATTGACTATGCCCACATGTCTCTAATGCTCTAATCTGGTTTTTTTCCCATATTTTTGCTTCACTTTGGATGTTTTCTATTGATTTTTCTTCAAGTTCATTAATCCTTTCTTCTGCTGGATCTTGTCTTCCCTTAAATCCATCCAAAGAGTCCTTAATTTCTCATGTTACATTTTTAATTCCCGGATGTTCATTTAACTTTTTATATAGATTCCAGTTTTCTGTGGGTGTTATCTTCTCTTTTATCTTTTTCTCTACTTTCTTTAACATATTAATTATGATTATTATAAAGTCTCTGTTCCATTATCTGGATCATACATGAATCTCCTTCTATTGTCTGTATTTTCTCTTGATTACCAGTCACTTTTTTCTGCCTCTTTTTACATCTCATATTTTTTGTGATATACTGGATATTTTATATAAAAGAACTGTTGAGGCTCCAGCTAGTATCTTCCATTAGAAAGAATTCTTCCTTTCCTCTGTTAAGCTAATAGGATAAGGGCCTGATCCTCTCAATCTAATCATGGATTGAGCTAGTCCAGGTCTGGATTATACCTGTAGTTTATTCCTATTTCTTGGATATGGGCCCTCCTGGGCTCTTGATTGAGAACCTAATAGGTCTCTCTATCTTCTCAGCCCCGAAAAATCGCAAGAGACTGTCCTACCTTTAGAGGTGTAGGGGTTTAGTTCTTTAACCTCCCACTCCTTACAGTTTCAAAATATGGCATTTATCTTGAAGAGGAGATATGTGTTTGAGGTAGACCTCCTTCTTCTAGTGGGACCTTATTTATCCCCTAAAGCCACAAGATTATAGGAGATTTCATTCTTCCTTGTAGAAGCTCTCAGCCTAGCTTCACATGTCCAGTGTGCAGGCTCAGAACTCAGCAAATGTCCGATGGGGAAAATTGGCCACATGCATGGAGCTCAAGTTCCAATCTGTTACAGCAGCCTATTGGATTTCTCTTTCCTCCAGTAGAGGTCCTCTGCATGGGCCACACCTGATCCTCAGCTCATGCCCCAAATTGGCAAATGTCCTCAGGAAAGAAAACAGTGTCAGCTACCTCAGAAGCCCTCCCTACTCATGTCTGGAACTCCAGTTCATCTAGCCCTTGTGATTTCTACAACACTGCAGTGTCTCTTCAAAGAATGTATCTGACTTTTCCTAATTGTTGCATCAGCAACACCATATTGCCATAATCTATTACATCCTACCTAGACACATAAACAACATTACCCCCTACCTGCCCACTGTGATTAGTTTATGAACTAGTCTCCCTAGTTCTACTCATGCAGCTTCTCTTCATGCTTAGAATAAGTTCAGATTCATTTGCACCATCTGCAAAGTCCTCCACAATCTTATTTCTACTCCCTTTCTAACCTGATCCCCCACCACTCCTCTTTGCTCACTCAATTCTAGCTATACTGACCTCCTTACCATTTCTCAAACACCCTGACATGTTCCCATTTCAGAATCTTTGCGCTTGTTATGTACCCTCTGCTTGAGAGGCGCTTTTCTCGGATTTTCATAAGGCTTTGCCTTTATTTCATTTGGGAGCTCTGTGTAAATGTCATCTCCTCAAAGAGAACTTTCCTCACCCCTCTCTCTCCTTACCCTTCTTTAGTTTCCATCATAGCACTTACCTGGCATTATACTGTATATTTATTTGTCTGTTTTCTTTCTCCCCAACTAGGAGGTAAGCTCCATGAGAGTGGAAATTGTTTTGTTAACCTATAGTAAGCGCTCAGTAACTATTTGTGGAATGAATTAGATGTGCTTACCTTGAAGAATTCTCAATTTAAGGAGGAGGTGAATGGTTGGAGTAAAATGGAAAGTACCCTAACATAGATGTCTTCAGAATGCTTTGGGGGTGGAGTGGTACTAACTTAGTTGGGGAATGGTCAGACAAGGCCTCAATAAGGAGGTGGCCCTGGAGCTGAGTATTGGAATCTGAGTATTGATGTTTACTTGACTAGGAAGAATGGGGAGCTCAACATACGTGAATGAATTGGTGTTCAGAAAACAAGTGGGCTAGAACATAGAGGGGATGTGTGTCAGGAAATGACATCAGACATAACTGGAGAACAAGGCAGGGATAAAGTCACGAAAGTCCTTGGATATCAGGATAAAGAATTTGGACTTTACATTAAAGGTAATATGGAGCAGAGATTTTTTAAAGTAAGGAGAGATGCTGTCAGATGTATGTATTTCCATGTTTCCCTACTCCTCATTGCAATAATCCCACTAAAGCTTTAAGTAGATTGGTGTAGAAAATGCCTAACTTGGTTGTCAGGGCCCAGTTTCAAAACATAAAGTCCTTATCCCAGTTTACTGTGTAACCCGGGGAAGGCATCATTTCCTCTGCTGAGCCTTGGATCTTCATTCTTAGCAGGAAGGGATTGTAGGCTTCTAAAGCCATTCCATCTCTGAGCCTATGATTCTGTTTATATGCTTTAACTAGATGCCTTGGGGAGAAAAATTTAATATTTTCTCTGCATCTGCCAGAAATAATTAAAACTTCCAATTCTAACCAATCTAAATTCAGTTCTCCTCTGAGATTTTCTAACATTTAGGTCAGATGCCAGGAAACCAGCTTCTTGGGATAAAACTACCCAAGCAGAAGTAGCAAGTCCTTTTTTTCCCCCTCTGGGATGGGAATGCAGGTGGGAGGAGGGGGTGATAGAATGAGTCTTTTTCTTGCAGTTGTGATTCCAAAGAATCCCTATCCTGCATCTGATGTGAACACTGAGAAGCCCAGCATCCACAGCAGCACCAAAACTGTCTTGGACCATCAACCAGGGCAGAGGGGGCGTAAACCAGGAAAGAAGCGGGGCCGGACACCCAAGCCCCTAATTCCCCACCCCATCTCTACCCCATCCAAGTCAGCTGAACCTTTGAAATTCCCAAAGAAGAGGGGTCCCAAACCTGGCAGTAAGGTAGGTAAAAATGTGGGTTTCCTAGAAAGGGATAAAGGGTTATAAAGGGGTAACTCACTCATATCCATCCATCTTGGAAAGGGGCATGCGTGGCCCTATTTTCCACCTCGTGTATGCTTTTAACAGGAATCTCCTAGATTGTCATCCCTGCTTAGCTACTTAACTGGGAGTTGGTAATATTAGAAATAGGATGGTGTGGATAAAAAACAAATTTTGACTTTGAAAGCTACTCACATTTGAAGGAATTCTGGTCTAATGTCTTCCCTAGATGGAAGACCCTGCTCCTAATTGTTAACCTACCCAGAGCGGATGCCCAGGCACATGATCAGAAAGAGAAAATTGACTCTATAAATGTATTTCTTTTTCTATCCCTGTCCCTTCTTTTAAAAAAGAAAGAAAATTATTGAATACCTAGTAAGAATCAGGCTCTGTATCAGACACCATTACATACATATCACATGATGATCACAAAACCCTAGGAGATGAGTAGTGTTAATGTTATCTAATAGTTAAGTAATTTGAGACTTAGAGATGTGAAATGACTTCCCTAAGGTCACGTAGCTAATAAATGGCAAAGGCTCCAGAGATGGGGCTCCAGATGTTCTAGTTCCAAGGTCACTGCTGCCCTACCATGGGTACCATGGCCACTCTCCCACATTTCCTGAAGGAGATAGGGTACGGTGGGCACTCTCCCATATTTCATGCAGGAAAAGACTGCTGAGTCAAGTGTCACTGAGCACTGTTAACTGCAAGTACCACCTTTTAGTCATGACCAATTCTTCATGCATATCTTCCCTAGGGAAACCATTGATAAGAAAGTTCCTCAGCTGCTTCTCTACGGCTTCCTTTAGCATCACCTTCTCCACTCACTTTTTGTCAAGGGTTTTCTTTGCAGCTCCTTCCTGAACTAGACTAGCTGAGTTTCAATGTGGAAATGATACCTAGTTCTCCCTGAGCACCCCATTCTAATCTCACGAGTTCTTCCCTAAGTTTGGTTGTTTGGTTGGTTGGTTAGTTGGTTGGTTGGTTGATTGGTTTTGTTCTCTTTATTAACTTCAGCTGACTTCAGTTGTTCTAGAATATAAGCTCCTCAAGGTCAAGAACCTAATCTTGTTCTTCTCTTTTTCTCCTGTAGTGCCTTATATCTCAGTCTCTTCAGAGATGTTCAATATATGCAGGATGGGTGGATGATTTTAGTTATGATGTTCTACTTGAGATTATCTCTTGTTTATTGGCTTTGAATTCTTGATGTCACATCCTGATCTTTCTATGTAACACATACGCTCTTGATCTACCTACTACTAACCCCTAACCCAGATCCTGATTCTTTTTTATCTCCACTACTCTCTTCTTATTCTTCTGCGGAGAGAGACTGAAGGCTCTAAAGATTCCAAGGCCAGAGAAGCCATGCTTTTGATGATGTGAAGACATTTTGAGGACATCTGATTAAAGAGGGAAAAAACTTGTAAGGTTTCAAAGACAGAACCAGAACCAAAAAATAGAAACTCAAGCAGACAGGCATTGTCTCAACATAAAAGAAACAGTTAAATCTATCCCAAAACAGATGTAGTGTTCAGCCAAAAGAAAGATAAAAAGGAAGGAAAGGAGGGAGGGAGGGAGGGAGGGAAGAAGGAAGGAAGGAAGGGAGGGAGGGAGGGAGGGATGGATGGATTAGTGATCTGCCATCACTAGAGGCATTTTGTCATGGACTGGATGAATCATATGGGATGGATGTTTTCAGGAAGAAGGAAGTAGGAAAGGGATGGTTGGATTAAGCGGCCTTTAAGATCCTTCAAAACCTAAACACTATGATTCTATGATTGCCTCTGCTCTGCTTCCTCAGGCAGTCCTAAACATAGTAATAACCAAAGTCCCCTTTCTTTCCAACCCTCTTGAAAACAATAATTCTCATCTTATCCTGTATTTTATGGGCTGGCATTTGACTCGCTAATTCCCCCTCCTGTCCTTTTGCCTACTTCTATAAATGTGTATATGCCTTCCACTTAACCCATGACCCTTCTGTTCCTTTCTGACGTAAAGTGGTCTCATGACTAAAGCAGAGGCTTCAAAGCCAGACAAATAGGTTTATATCTCATCTCCATTTGTTACCACTTGTGTGACTGTGGGAAACTTTGAATAAGGCTCTGAGCCCTAGTTTTCTCACCAATAAAATAGAGATGAGGTAAAATATGAAGAGATGTAATACATGTAAATGCACCTATCTCAAACAGAAATGGCTTCCATCTCTCTGCTTTCTTCTACAATATTTGGGCACCAAACTCACCAGGCTTGTTCCTTCAGGGACCCCATGAAATCCTACCACCAACTCTGTGAAGTTGAACTGCTGTTTCCTTTCTTCCCTGACTCCTTGCTTATTTAGACTTTGACTTTAGCAGTATCAAAAAAAAAAAAATGAGGAAATGTCCATGCCCCATGTATGCTTTGAATGTTTCGTGTTTGCATGATAACTTCCACAGACAAGGCCATCTTATATATGACCACTGTCACCGGTGCTGCTGCTTTAGATCATACACTCCTGGAAGGCAGACAGGTTTATATCGCTCCCAGCGGTGGACCCTCCATGGCACATTTAGTAAAAAAGGGATTTCTGGATCTCAGTGGATGATTACATTTTCCTTGCATTCAGAAAGGCTTTTAGAAAACTATTTCTTGAAAAGAAGCTTCTGAGATCTTTCTTCCCTAGAGACTGCCCTGAACAGCATAGAGAAGATACTAGATTTTTCTCAAATCATTTTTATTACTTCCCCCATTATTGGTATTCTATACTGTGTGCTTCATTGAAAATATTTATTGAGACTTATAATATGGCAGTTGCCATGCTAGGAGCATAGGAACCCAGAATCAGACCCTCAAGGAACTCCAGGCTAATAGAGGACAGCAGTATGTGAATATATATGACAATACCTTGTGACAGATGCAGCACAACGTACAGAGATAGCGCAAAAGATCCAGTAATTAGGGGAAATCTAGAAAAGTTTCCTGGATAAACAGATTTTTATAAAGTGAAAAAAGAAAGAAGGGGCATTCCAAGCAGAAGGGGCAGTTTGTTACAGTAAAGGTATAGCCCAGGTAAAGCGGCAGGGTCTTTAGAGAGCTATTTTAGTTAGAGATCGAAACCTTAGAGGGTAAAGTTTAAGATAAGAAATGGCAATGGATGAGCTGAGGAGGTAGGCAGAGGAACAGGTTTGCAGTTAGGGGAAGGGATGTTTCCATTTTTTGAAGAGAGAAGCAAAGTACAAAATAATGTCAAAGTAGACTTAAGCCTCAGCATTTTTTTTCCCTTTTTTCCTTTTGTCTGCCCAACTGATAACCTGGAATTTCGAATGATAATACTGAATCTAGTATAAAAGACTATGAATTAAGCTCCAGCTCAATGGGAGCCCAGAATCTTATACATAGATTCAGAAAATACTTACTAAGCATCTACTACAGGTAAAGCTCTAGGCAAGATTCTGTGGAAAACAAAGATAAAACACAGGCCCATCCACAGAGATATTTCCATCTCATGGGTGAATCGAGGGCTAGGAATAGAGAAATCAGAAGACGAGTTACCTGTCACAGGTAGCAAACTTCTCCCCATCCATTTTGACAGAGGAAGCCTCGGACTTTGCTGAACCCACCACCCACCTCACCAACAACCAGCACCCCTGAACCGGATACCAGCACTGTACCCCAAGATGCTGCCACCATCCCCAGCTCAGCCATGCAGGCCCCCACAGGTAAGAGCAGATCATGCTATTAGCTGCCACAAGCCCCAGCCCCACCCCCAGTCTGTCCTTTCTCTTGTCCTGCACCAGCAGTTAGCACCCCCACCAATGCCTTTGTAAACCTAACTCAAATCTTTAAACAAATGTTTTATCTTTGGCATTTGAAATAGTTTCAGAGAAACCTTCATCCTTTCAAAACAATAGAAGAAACTTGGATAGATGTCCTGTGAACTCAGAGTTGGGGAGCTGGGGTGTGGGGGTGGGGTGGAGGTGGGGCCGGCACCAAGAGCCCCCCTCACCCCGCCCAGTTTGTATTAATATGCATCCTTTCCAGTTCCCTGTGCAGAATACTGATCCCTTCCAGAATCCTTCCAGCGTTAACAGTAATCCTGCCACCACTCAAATACGTGTACAACCACTGATTTTTTTTTTCTAGTGAAAATAGTCTTTATTGGATATTTAGAAAACAGGATTATGGGAGGTATTTCTCCTTAAGAACTTTGGTACAATGGAACACATGTGGAACAGTCAGTAACTGCCCCCGTCCCACAGGGCCGTTCACTCAGCACAACTATAAACCAATAAGCTGCCTAGGAAAACCTTAGCAATTTAAAATAATTTAGATACTTTATAGCTAAAATTTTTTCTGTAAGTCCTATTTCATAGTAGAGCTTCCTCTTCTGACTGTTAAAGAAATGGCACAAAATTAAGCTAATCAGCGTGGCTTTTTGTATTTATTTTCTTTCTTTCCTGGGCGGGGGGGAACAGTAAATTCAACCTTTCCACAGCCACTTGAGTTTCACAGAGCTCTGAGTCAAACGCACACAGCTCTTCCACAGAGAAACCAGTGCTCTTCACGGCCTGGGCAGCACTCAGGGGCACACACTTCAGTTAGCAGACTGGGGAAAGAGCTCCTGCTATGGCAAAACAGGATGCCCTAGGGGTTTTTGTCTGTAGAGCCTGCTTTTGAGGTATTAGTTTGATATGGTTTTTTTCTTAAAGGAATCCTTTTTCCTATAGTGTAACTGCCCCCCACTGTTACCAGTTATTATCTTCCTAGCTCAGCCCTCCTGCCCCTTCCCAGCCTCAGACTCTCCCTCAGTAATTTCTGCTGCAGCGGATTTTGAGGAAAACTGCCATCAGTGGTGAGACATCATCCTTGGGAACCATCATCTCTGCCTAAAGGACAGAGAAAAAGAAGAACAGCAGCTGCAGGCTTCATTTCTGGGATCATATCAAGAAACCAGTCCAACTCAGGATCTCGTAGTGGCTTCTTTTATACTTGAATTGGTAAACTCTTCTAAACCCAGTTCTGATAGAAACTTAAGCCTCCTTCCTTGTGACACTTTTGGTGGCTTGGTTTTGGTCTGGCTTCTCCCTACTTTGTGCAAGACTGGTCTTTTGGGGGTAGGTTTGGACTCTTCAATGAGTAGAAGCAGAGTAGGAATGGCCTTTTGCTCCCCTGAGGGACCAGGTCGTGCAGCTGTGGTTCTACCTCCATGGTTTATCTCTGTCTCTTAGCTGCTAGGCTCAAAGTCATCCCACATTTCCTCTGCAGTAGTTAGTGAGCGGGGCCTTGACAGCAGCATAGGGTTCTGTAGGACAGATATGTGCACTGACAGTTTTGGTTGCATACCCCTTTGGCGAGTAGGGTAGTCACTCTTCAGCCTTGTTAGATCTTGATGGGAAGTTTTCACTGTCTTCTGAGGTACCTTTTACATCTGAGATTCCATTCATGGGAAATTTAATAGGCTGAGAAAATCGATCACCTTCTGAGAAAAGGTCAGTAGTTTTCGTAGAACTTGAGGCAGTGAGTTTGAAGCTGGTGGTCCTTTCTCCTCCCACCATCACCTCTGGTCCAAGGAGAGAGACCAGCACTGCTAGGCTGTGAAGAGTAACTGCCACAATGGAATCTCTGGTATGGCCTGGTGATGCCTGTGGCAAGGGGACTTTCTTCAGCTGCTCCTGAGTGAAGTGCTCCACGTATGCCTTGAGGGGAGACAGTAGCACCTTCCACATGTGCTCCTTGTGAACCTCAAGCAGCTGGAGCGGCACGGGGTTCACCCATGACCAGAACAGGACCAGCAAGAGCAGGCAAGGGGCTTCTGGGGTTTCTCTCTCTGTGTTGTTTTCATGGGGCCAAGCAGATGAGGAAGAAAACTCTTAAAGGCTACTGGCCCTGCACACACCAACTGATTAAGGGCAGAAGAGGTATCAACCATGATGCCATTAATTCCCCTCATGAGCAGCTGAAATACGAAGAATTCAGGTTTTTTTTCGTCTTTACTCTTCAATGTTAAACTTTTCAAGAAATTCACAACTTTTAGAAAATCATTCCTGAAGAAGTCATGGGACAGTAAGGTGCAGAGTGCTGGCTCACATTTTAGAATGGGATTCAGCAAGATCTGTTAAAAGCTGGGGAGAATGTCCACCAAAACTGAAATCCAGAGCTACCATTAATTTCCAGTGAGTGCCTTCTCCTTTTCAGGACCTCTGTAGCTGGAGACTGACGAGAGCAAAAACTAACCTGTAAAATCCCAAACAAACAAAGCCCTGGCTTATTTTTTTTAACATCATCAGTGGTGGCAAACCTTGGTACTATGAGAGTAAACTTGATTTTGGAGACCAACCAATGAACATTTGATTCAAAGCACAGTGTGGTTTGAGTGGCTGCAGTGGGCAGGTAGTTAATCAGGGCTATGATTATCTGTTTCCATTTCATAAACCAGCCACCTGTGAAGGTAACTTTAAAAGAGCTACACCACTGGAATAGATAGTCTCCCAATGGGAATACTAGAAAGAACAATACTCATTTCTTATGTGTAGAGATACGTGTGTGAAACCTTACTCTAGTTACTCTGCAGATCCTCCACCTTCTTTAAAGAAGTTTAAGCAATTGGAATGGTCCCCAGAGAAGTTAGCATAGTCTTTTTCTAAGGAGTTAAGTATGTCTCCAACCCAAATCCTAGAACGTTAGAGCTTGAAGGGAAGGCCAATTCTAGTTTCTTTTCCACATAACCTTTGGAAGACCACATGTAGCCTGCCTGTAGTATTTATGTCCAGCTCTAGTCAGGGTCCTATTACATGATTTCTCCAAATATATCATCTGCATCTAGCTCCAGCCAATTACTGGGTTTGCTTAGTCCAAGAGTGTCTTTAGATTAATGAACAGTGACCTTTGCTCCAAAGCTCTGTGGATGAAGAAGAAAAAACAGATAAACACCTTGGTAGAAATATTGATTACGTGTGTTTTCCAGCCTCATGGCATGACCCCTAGATGCCTGTATATTTGCTCGGTTTTCCCACATCATTCTAGATACCACTAAGGTGCCTGTGTGCCTGTTCAACAGTACCTAGATAAGACCCACAGCAGTGGGAGCTTCATGACTGTGCCACACTATTCCATTTAAATGATGCAGATTCCGTTTAAATCTGGCAGTCGCTGAGCTGGCATCCCTCTCTCAGCCTGAATCTCAGAGCTTAGGAAAAGTGGGAACTTACTTCATATCTCTGTTTCCTGCTCCTGGACAGACTACAGCAGTTTTGACTTTTCATTGTCTGGCCATCCTCTGCCTGGGCCTCAGCTCATTCTGTGTGACCTTGACCTCACTTCCCTTTCTGAGCCTCAGTTTCCACACTTAATGCAGTGGAAGGATTAGTTGAAGTTACCTTTTCAGACCCTTCAAATGTTAACAGTGAAAGCTATCATGGATCGAAAGGTGTGTGCCACACTGTATCCTTTATACCTCCCTTTCATTTTTTTACCTGCACAGCACTTTTTAAGAGTTAGTTTTATTTATTTTTTTAATAATTTTTTTTATTTGAGAGAGAGAGACAGAGATAGCGACAGAGATAGCAAGAGAGAACATGAGCAGGGTGGGGAGGGAGAAGCAGGCTCCCTGCTGAGCAGGGAGCCCAATACGGGGCTCGATCCCAGGACCCTGGGATCATGACCTGAGCAGACGCTTAACCGACTGAGCCACCCAGGTGCCCCAAGAGTTAGTTTTATTTTTATCAGAGTTATATACATGCTCATAATTTAAAGGAACAATAGGTTTTTAAGAATTACGACAAAAGCAAAACAAACTGGCCCTCTTTTCCCCTGTCATTTACTTCTCCCCAAATGCAATCACTTTTAATTCAACCGATTCTTTTATTTACCTCCATATGTTGTTTTTATGTTTATATTTTGAATTAAATGCATAATTCAGGCATTTTTTAACTGACAACCCACTTTAGAAGTTGAAGATTTAACTGTTCTTAATCTCCTTGTCCCTTACCTACCCACATATACTTCCCTATCTTAATACCGTGATATTATCATTTTGATTAGATCGAAATTCAGTGTTTTGTCATTGTAATTTGTGGCATGCTATTTTCAATTGAACCAAGTAGTGTACTATGATTACTTTTCCTTTGTTGCATATTTTGTTTTCAAAGTAAATCTTGTTGATTCCTTTATGTGTTTTTTTTTTGCTAGTACTTATTAATTCAGCCTAAACTCTTACTATGTACATCTCTCATTATGTTCAAGCACATTATATATTCTATCATATCAAACTCTCAAAAAGTAGTCTCTTCTGAAGCCTTCTGAGTTCCTTGACATCTTCTTCACCTCCCTTTCATATTATTCCCAGTTTGCTCCTTCTCTGTCTTTGTTTTCCCATGTAAATCTTAGATTGCATGTTTAATTTTACATGAAATCTTTTTGTTTTCTCTGAAGCTTCTCTTCATCCCTAGTGTTCTGCAGTCTCACCTAGGATGAGACACTGCCATGCTGGACCCTGTGTGTGTCCATCCTTTCTTTAGTTTCTTGAGATTTTCTTAAATTCTTTCGTCAGTAATTTTCTCCCACTTCTTTGTCTCTCTGCACTCCTTCTGGCACACGTTATTCAAAGGTTGAACTTCTTGAACTTGTTCTGTAATATTCTTCACCCTCTTTATTCTTACCCCTATTCTCGTTGACTTTTTGTTCAACTTTCTTCAAAGCTTTCCTCAACTCTGTTTTCCAA